ACTTTATTCTTTGATTATTTCTGGAAACAGGTCTTAGGCTGTATTCTAAATGGATGCTTGATTCACATTTCACTGTAGTTTTTAACAAAGATCCATGAGGATTATGTCCCATTTGCAGCTTGTCTTTGGGATCAGGCAGCAATTTGCTGCTGTGTGAGACGGTAAGTCTTACTGCTCTGCACATGTGGGCAGCGAATGAGGAGGAATGTTTGCTCACCTCTCCATCATAATCTCTTGTTCATCAAATAGATCTATTTTCTGCCCCCTTTGTACCTTTTCACTGGACTGCAAACTCTGACAAAGAGCCTGAGTCTGTAATGATGATATATGAGAGTCATCCCGAGGATGTTGTCAGATTACAGGGATGTGCTGTGGGTGTAAACCTGGGCGGTGACACGTAGAGAGTAAATAAAAAATATGTCAGTTTTTTCCATAATTCAAAATGATTACTTATCTTGTGATGGAGTGCAGCTCCTAAAATGTTGGATAACAATTGAATTAAGTTCAAGGTGCTTTGATTCTGTTAAATGTTTCACAACATTGACTATTAACTCCTAGTTTGTAATGCGTTTATCTTGTTGGTGTCAGGGATTAAGTTGTTACTGTGAGAAGGGATTTCAATAGGTTTTTCAGCTGTAATGTGCCTTCATAAGTTTTGATTTTCAGGTTTGATACTTCTTTGATGAATGGATATGGCAGTGCGATGCTGTTAAGTAAATTTCCCACCTTTCTTTGGTGCATTTTCAGACGTCTATGCCACTGCCATAAAGACAATTAATTCAAGTATCCTCGCATAAACAATCTCCCAAAAATGGGATTCCACTGGATTAAATCTAGCTGTTGTTCAGCTCGCTTTGCTTTGACACAGTGCGTCGCGCGTCAGCCATTCCTCAAACTGACAAACTATAAAGAAGGGTTGCAGACTCCTCCTGTTTAATTATAGTGCCCTGGGAAAAGCAACAGATGCCAACCAAAGACATCAAAACAGCTATTTGAATATAGTGTATTAAAAAAATTATATTTTGGTCTGCTGACATTGTTCTGTATGCTAAACATGCTTGCTCTCATGGAGGATAATTGGTTAATCTGTGAGCGTTTCCAATTTTGTGGGATATGACACTCAAGTCAATTGATTTGACCATTTCCTGCAGTAAGATAACATGAAGAAAATATTTACTTCAGGACATGAAAGTAAAATAAAAAACACTGCAGGACTGAAATCTTAGAGTTGAATAAAAAGTAATAAATGTTGGAGTGAAATACTTTTTTCCCCACACATGCTTACATAAATATATCCTCTGCATTGCTCATTATGATTAATCATTTATTAAATACCTTCCTTAGGGCTTGTTAACTTGTATTAGGCATTATGGTAATGATTCTATTCTATATAGAAAACACTGAGTATTTTCACAACCTGAGGTAATGCAAATGAAGCCTTTGTCAAACTTCAGGGAAGAACTGTTAAATAAGCATTTCAGCAGCATCACAAAGTAGCAGCGCTAATTAAATTACATAACTATTTGTTTACCTGCTGCAATCTTACACGACCACCGAGTACATTTGAGCTTTTTTTGTTTACCGTGTTCATTCGGAGGCTATCGCAAAAAGTGATGTGATGAAGGGTCAGACAGATAGACGTGTTGTTTTGACTGCACTTCATTGACATCTTTGATTCTGTACTAAAGACATAACAAATATGCTAATTTTACATCTGTTTGGTTTGAGCAGGAGGACATCTAATGAAAAACATGTCATTTCATCTTAATGTGCAAATCACTTCCTTTCTTCCCTTTCACTTTTCTCTCCGAGACGTTAAATTGAAATCTTCTGAATCCCCTGTTCTCACATGCTTACTGTCTATAGTAGTTTTCTTGTTGCTCAGTTCCTATCGAGCTTTCTACACAGGTTTTACAGACCTAAACCTGCTCCATATAAATTCAACACTTAGACGAACATATAATGAAAACAGCAAACGCTTTTACCAGACCACCCTGCCTTCTGTGCAGTCTCTCTAAGTGAAGCTGCTTTTCCAGGGCCAACTCATGAAAGAATATTGTCACCTGGACCTGGTACTAAAATGTCAAAGCCGTCAAACGTATTACCTGCACTCAATTTCCCACTAAAAAAAGACCAGAATCCCCTTCTTCAATATAATGAATAAGATTACTAATCTCATGTTCACACCATCTGCTTGTGTTTAATTTAACATCACACACTAAAAATATTCTCTGTGCCTGATGTTCTGAAGGTTTAATCGACACACCAAATTAATCTGCTTCAAAGAATCTTAACAACCAGCTATTCAACACAGCGTCATCCGCACTAATAATATCCTGCTCACTACTTTAAAACATAAGAAGCTTCGTGTCCCTTTTCGTGTATCTCTCAGTGGGAAAAGACACTGACTAATGCACAGACACAATCTTTAGATGTGTTGTTGCTCATACTATGGATTATTAACTTTCTATTTCTACCCAATTGATACATTATCTCATACGGCTGATTGCTGCTTCCTCTTGCAATACTGCAGCCAGACATATCGCCTTGTGCACAGAAGCATCTTGCAGGACTAATAGTTCAAAGCAGAAAAAATCAATGTCTTCTCACGCTGCCACATTGTGTAAACTCCAGCCACCTGAAGACCATCCGTTTCAATATCTGCACTGTTTGGCTGCAACATCTGCCGATTCTCTCTGTCTGTCATATACACTTTTAAATGATGTCTGTGCCTGTCTATACACAAGCACACATGACGTTCCACTACAACAGTATATGTGCCTGCATGGAATGTTCCAAAGAATACTTTTCAAATTTTATAATGGACGGATTAGTTATTTTCAGGAAAAGTAAACCAGTGGACAGTATTTGATATTTAATTTACGACTATTACTTAATCATTGTCTCACAGTAGCATAAGTACATAATAAAACAATACAAGTGAAATTGGAAAATTGGCCATTGTACATATAGTACAGTGCACATATTTTCATAGCTTTACTTAAGTGCAATTGTGAATGCAAGCATTTTACTTGTACTTACTATTGCAGTATCCCTATGCTTACATAAGTAAAGCATCTTCCTTTGCCACTGCTTAAACACTTACAAGAGAAAATCTTGAAATATTCATGGTCGTAATAAGTTATTCTCGATGTGTTACACCACAGATAAGATAACACTACAGCCAGTTTGTACAGCTCGACAAGGTGATTAGTGTAAAGCACAAGAAAACTAATTTAGCTAGGGTATATTGTGTTACGTAACTTCTTTGTGTTCACATAATAACTCTTGTTTTAGGGCCTGGGAAAGCTGACACACAATTACCACTGTAGTGGCTTTTGGTGACATTGATGAAGCTGTTAGTAAGAGGCTGGAAAAGCCACAACAAGTCAAATCATTCAGTTCCATTACAGATTTTTGACTTCTTACCAAATGAAGCAAAGAAGACATTTTACTGTTGTCAAAAATAAAGCAAATGGCAGAGCAATCGAAAAAAACAACAACTAAGTAACATACAAAGCTTACATCCTTTTTATATCCAGCTGCTTCTCTGTGAGGTAATGATGCTTTTTTGTAAAACTTTCAACAAAAGTGGCGGACGTGTGGCAATGATTCATGGTGAGTTTTGCATGTGATGGTACAGCAGTCTAAGTTATGCCTTTATTTATCTGCAAACGGCAACATAAAGACAAGAATAACAGAGGCAGCACATTACACACATACGTTGGTCCATTTTAATGTTCAACATGTGCTTATGGAACAAATAATTGTATGATTACTGTATAATGTTGGGACCTTAATTTTCCTGAATCATTATTTACAGCACAAAACGAATCCCCTTGAAGGTCTACGACCAGCCACAAATTCCTATGAGGTATGAAAGTGCTGTGCACGTTCATGGGTTTATCAGGCCATCTATTGTATGTATTCTCAATCCGTGTTCACAGCAGCCCAGGGTGTTTTCTGCTGTTCATCAGAGGGGCTGTTTTCCCTATTGAGATAAGAAATTAAATCTGCAGGAGCAGAGGATGCTGGGTTTGCTGCAGGGTGGCGAAGCAGCAGCTCTGATAATGGAGCCGACTCCCATTGCGCAAGCTATGAGGCAAACTGCCGTGGCACCAGCCCAACCCTGCCTCTGCGAGAGGACAGCTAGCGGTGTCACTCTGAAGATTCTTCGCTCTCTCTCTCTCTCTCTCTCTCTCTGTATGTGAACATGTGGTTAAATCTGCATGTGACACTGAGAGGAGGAAAAAAACAAAGCGAAGAAGAGGAGGATACTTTTCTATATTCCTGTGCCTGCATTTAAGTTAATGTATGCAAGAGAAAGGGGAAATAATGTGGGTTTGCCTTTGTGTTTAATGTGGTGAGGATATGTAGGCATGGAGAGTCGGACATACTGACCCTGTGGAGTTAAAACTGAGTGATTGATTGAGTCATAGGATGGACGCATCTTTTTTTCTAGTATATTGTTAACAAAGCCTCCCCCTCTATCCTCAACACGTTCTGCTCATGCTCACAGTAGGGGTGGGTAATGTGTGGCAGTGTATTATGTAAATATGAAGAGGGTTTTAATTTCAGCTAGGGAACTCACCAGAATACTGTGTTGTTTTGGATGCTCCACACAAGGTTCACTTCAGAGAAGTCTGCAGAGAGAAACAAACGATCACACCTTAATGTTCAAGCACAAATAACATTGGGGGCCACACAGCACCAGTTGTAATAGTGTCAGAATCATAAAAAGGTTCAATTTATATCAATCTTTGACTCCATCTCAGACTCAATACAAATGATTTGATATGTCTGTGGTGAGGGAACGGTTATGTTCTGCCCAGAGCCTCTCTGCCAGATGAAACTTTAAAAAAATATATCACCTGTTCTTCCTGTGTAGATTATTTCCTGACTTATATGCATAACAATTAACACTGTCAGACACTGTTATAATTAACCTTGCATCGGACACTTAAACACTTGGATAATGTTTTTTACAGCCTCTCTGCCAGATGAGACTTGAAAGAGGAGAAATTCAGGCAGGAGTATCACTTAACCTGCTTCCATCTTTGTTGAAGACTTAATAATATAATAATATTTGTCTTTAGCCTTTGTTACAATTGACATATTTTGCATATTTCAAGATATGCCCACAGTCATTTCTTCCATCTCAGCTAGTAAATGCATTTAACTGATTCAGTGAATACTTACAGGAGAATAAATAATATGAACATGTTCTTATATACTGAATTATTACACCCCAAAAAAAGCTATGCATTCAGCATACTGGATGGATTTGGTGGATGGTTGGATGGGTAGATAGATGGATAGATAGATTCACTGAGCAGTGAGCAGCTGAAACAGTGAAGCACAAACACACTGGAACGCATGATAAGAAATTTATAAGCAGCCTGTCTATTGTGTTGACCTAACATAAGCAGTCGTGTTTTCTTCCCGAAAACAAATCTCATAGAGGATTACCAGAAAATAACAACAGCAACAAATAAAAACAGCAAGAATGGTTACTGGGAGAAGGGAAAACTGCACGATACTATCTAGCCACAAGTTCCACAGTGAAGTGTCTCAATATAAACACTATCATGCACAGCTTTATGGGAACTTCAATTTACCTTAGACATATACCACGTATGGTGATATATTGGGATCCCATGAATCCCTGCACAAAGTTTCACTGTCTCTGAGCCATCTGTGAGGCCAGGCCATAGATGGATATTGATGCTTATCAAATCTTAATGTATAAAACAATGTTAATGGTAATAGGCAGTGTAGTACAGTTCATGAGAGGTGACCTTGCTCCAGTGGCTCTTAGAAACCATCATGTTGGCCTCGACTAGGATCCTTGTGGCAGACAGGACTGTGAAACTTTGATTTCGTGCTTTGGAAGGCAATGCAGGACTGTAAACTTCCATAAATCCAATACAGAGGACAGAGCTAAAGTTAGCATTAAATCTGAAAGCATGAAGGACCAGATTCTCTGCTATGGAGAAATTCAGCACAGTAGATAGACTAGTCACGACTGAGGCTTATTTTTTTCAGGTCAACATGTAACCCAATACATTTATATAAGCTAGTTAGGTACTTCCTTTTGTTTGTGTGGTTGCTACTGTATAGGGTTCTGGTTATTTAGCGTTGCCTTCAATGGTCTTTTCTAGCACATTTAGTTTGAGAATGACAAAGAAAACACAAGTCCTCCAAACTCTTAAAAGCCGAGCACTGCAGAGCCTTTGAAACCCTTTTCTGGTGAGAAGGAAAAATCTACAAACTGTATTGTTTTGACTGATTTCAGAGAAACTAACTGGACTTAACAGCATCTACAGAACTTCTTTAGACCCTGGTGATTTCACCTGCTGAGCACACGATCTGAGCATTTTTTAGGCACTTCAGGTGTTTTCATGCACACCTGGGCTTCATGACATCAATCTCACATGCACAAAACTAAACTCTGCAGGACTGTGGTGACCAAAAAAACATGTTTAATCGCTTTCAGAGGACACACACACAAAAAGATAAATACTGGAATTCATTATCTTTACCAAGGAGGTTCTGTTTCTGCCCCCCTTCCGTTATTTATTCGTCAGCAGGATTATGCAAAATCTACTGAACAGGTTTCAAAAAAACTTGGTGGAAGGATGGGACATTGGCCAAAAAAGAGCTCATTACATTTTGACACAGATCGAGTTATTTCTTATCTCTTTCTTTAGAATTGTCATTAGTTTTTTAATGTTTTTGATATTTTCACTGATTTCCCAGGGAATAACTCCTGTATCTTGATGAAAAGAATTAGGCATATTTGGAGGACTGAAATCTATGAGTGCAATGTGGTGCAGCTTGATTGACTTTAAGGGGACTGTTGGGCCATGGCCGTGATATGCGCTCCACTGAGTGTCATTCTATTTTAAATTGCTACTGTGATGTAAAAGGACTAAAACGGTTCAAGGGAGTCACAATTTCCTCTCCGTCTCCCCAGAGCACAGCTAAAGACATACAGTAAGCAATCACTATTAACGGAAACTTTTGTAGAAGAAGAAAAAATAAGTTCTATATTATCTATCTATCGGGAATAAAGGCAGGAATAAAGCAAAGAGATGGTTCTGATTCTCTGAGTCTAAGCGTCAATCTTGAGTAGAATCTCAACAGTCCTCTTTATCGGCCCCAGCCACAGCAACACAAGATGTTTGTCGAAGCACGGCATATTTACCGAACCCACCTCCGACTTCTACCAAGGTGTAAACAATCGAGGCCCTTACAAAAGACCCTGACATTAACGTAACCTTCAACGGTGAGTAGATGTCCCTTCTTCCTCTTTAGCGCTGTGTTTGGACCTCACATAGCATTTAAAAGAACTCTGCTATCAGGCAGCAGATTCTCCAAATATTTAGCAAAAATCTCCAAGGTCTTATTAAGGAATATGTGACAGGATGTGTATTTTGTACAGTGTTCAATACATTATGAAACATCCAATGACCGGATCTCTGACAAACCTAAGACAGTGATGTGAGAAGTACAATTTCACGCATGCTTCACTTTACTGAAGCGTCCGTCCTATATTCATGTTCCCTGAAGGATCCAACACTGAGGAACTGATTAATTCACACTGTAGGCACACACACAAGCCACTGTAGCTGCAGTCCTACATGTTGTGACTGTATGCTAACTGCCCCTCCATTTACTCATCAAACTCCCACACAGATACATTAGACACATACACTGCACGCACATAGATTTCGTCTGAGTGACACAGTGATTAGGTTTGTGAGAGAGATTTTTTCGTAAATACATTTCATGTTACTGTTGTTGTCCTGATAAAAAACCCACTGGTGTTGGGACATGTGACTCGCAGAGCAGAGGGTAAATCCTCGAAAAACAAAACCAGTGTCAAAACATCTTTCACAGATCAGATGTCATCAGGCTCACACACTGCCTCCAGGAATATCTTCACTTCTGCTAATGCAACAGGATTACTGCAATGTGTAACTCACAGCTTTTCAATCTTAACTGGTGTAGTTGAAAGAAAATATATATTGCTGTTTTTCCATCTGATTATTACTATCATCCTTATTTAGTCAATTCAGTATTTATTTGAAAGAAAATGGTGATAAATACTTCTTATAATTATCCAGGGCCCAATATGAAATATTCAAACTACTAAAAATCCAAATACATTTAATTAATTATCATATAAGACAAACTATTCTGATTCTCACATTTAAGAAGCAGGGAACAATCCCCTTTCAAACTACATCTGCCAGCAGCACGATATTATATACATTTCACAAATTATAATCAATCAATAATTATTATACAGATTAATTCCATATACATTTCACAATAAATTGACAAACATTTGTAGCATTCCAGACAGAGGTTCTGTGTCAGGTCTGTGCAGGTTGATGATTTACTCCTCCTCTAACCTCAACATTCACACTGAGTCCCAATAGGAACAAGACTTATGGGCTTCACTCACCTCTGCAGAGAGCAAAAGAATATGGGGGGGGACACTTCAGTGACATTCAAGTCAGTAAGACTCAAAGTTACACAAGTGAAAAACTTACACAGAGCTTATATCACTTCCTTCAGACTTACAAAAATAAATAGACCCAAGCTTCTCTGATCTGTGACGGCACGGTTGCGGAAAAGCAAGTGCTTTGATCCGTACGCTGTGGCACTGCTACGCTCTCAAGTCTGCCTGGACATCCGTCTATCCCTCATTACATCCATCCATCCATTTTCTAAAATGCTTATCCTTTTAGTGTTGCAGGGGGGGCAGGAGCCAGGTGACATTGTTCAAGAAGCAGGATACACAGTGGACAGGTCGAGCCGACTTAGAGACAAACAACCATTCACACTCACATTCAGTCTCCAATTAACCTAAGCCCAACGTGAATGTCTTGGAAGGTAAACCCACACAGACACAGGAGAGCAAACACTCAGAAAGGCCACAGCCAAACATGCATTTGAACCAAGACCCTTCTTGTCACGTCAGTGCTAACCACTGCAACACCGTGCCGTCGCTCCTCATGATCGTCTTGTTTGTCCAGCTCTGAGGTTGCACAGTAAAGAAGAGAACAGAAGTATACCACAGGCTTTTGTTGGCAGCTATGAAAATTATCTTGTACCTGGAACTGTTTCTCGACTAAATTCTGGTCACTTACATTTTTAAAAACCATCTCGGTATAGGGAGAGCAGCTGATATGATCAGTGATTCTAATATAAGTGTGCAATTGAATGATTACTATGGTCTCACTGTGGAGCTTTGTGTGAGAGGATTTTAAATCCTGGTTTTCTCACACAGGTCAAGTGGACCCAATGATCATAATTACACATAATTAACTAAATAATACGTTGAACTGTGTGCTGTACTATACTTCAGCTATGTCCGCCCTCACTATCTATGTTGTGAACTGCTGCATTATTTCTTTTTCTGCATGAATGTTAAGGTAAATGAAGAACAAGAGAAGCAGGAAGCAGAAATTATTTTATCTTTATGTTTGGGAAATGACTGGGATAATTAAAATACTATACTTAATGTATAGTTTTACCTATATACATATGTATATATATACGTACATATATAATACTCATTTAATTTGACTAATGATTAAAGCTTAATATTTTAATGAGTTATGATCTGAGG